GGCATCTGTATTTTCTAAAAGCCCCCCTGATGACTCTAATGCCTGGCCAGGGCTGAGAACCATTGGAACCCTGCAGTGCAACTTGCAGATGGAGAGACTGAGGCCCAGACTGAGGTCACACAGCAAGCCAGTGGCCATCTATGTGCAGCAGGGCCTATGGGGGCAGGGAGGCCAGCCAGAGGCCAACCCAACACGGCAGCCCCCTCCCTCCACTCAGAATCCTCCTGGGGATCTTCTTTCCAGTTTGTCCACAAATCCCCTGGTCCACAGCCCCTGGTGTGCAAGGCCTGGTCTGTATCCAAATCAGTAGTTGACATCGTTTGTACAGCGGAGTTGAGGAGCCCAAGAGTTAAGAGCTGAAAGTGCTGAGTGCCTATCACGGTCATCACCAGGCTGGGCCTTGCGTGAGTGGAGGAACACAGGGGGCATGGTCCTTCCATCTGCAGACCTGAGAGGGGCCCTGGGTACAGTGAGGGGGATGAGACCCTATACTGCCCAGGACAACAGAAGCAAGGCCTTAGGTTCCACTCAGGAACCAACCAATCAGCAGGAATCAGACCTGGTGTAGCTCCAACACAAGGAGCTGTCATCCAGTGCCCTAAGCTCCAGCAACTGGGACACTCAGAGGTGAGGAACAGTACTCAGGGAAGTCTTGCTGCAAGAGAAGGGTAAAGTGCGGGGTTATTAATTGTGTAGAGGGAGGAGAAAGCCACCTTCCAAGAGGAGGGACCATTGTAGGCAACAGATGGCAGTAAGAAATGATAGTGATTGGGGACCTAGCAAATAGCTCACACTTACTTTTATCATGAATAAAATAACTACAATTTGTTGAACACTTACTGTGGGTTAGGCTCAGGCTAGGAACTTTGCATGTATTCTCCTCTTAACCCCACAGCAACGCTGAAAGTTCCCAGTTTACAGTCATAGTCACACAAGGTCAGAGAGTAGGAGTTTTTAAAAAATCTTTGTATCTCCAGCCCCCAGCACAGAGCCTGGCACATAATAGGTTCCCAGTGACATTTGTTGGGAGAATGAATGATGTGGTTACACTCGGGCATTTGGTGTAAACATCTCTTCAGCATCCATAGTGTCCAAGTCTACCTTGGTCAAGGATGTGGGAATAATTTTAAACTTCCACCACCTAAAGTGCTACTACTGAGGGATTCATTATCATGAAATTTCTTGGGCTGGGCCTGGCATGCAGTAGGCACTCAATAAATGGGGGTTGAATGACCACAGCCCTGCTCAGTATGGGTGGTAAAAGTATTCTGAATTCAGAGCTGGGGACCCAAGTTCAGGTGCCCACTCTCTCTGTCCAGGACGTGGCTCTGAGCTGTCACTTAACCTATGCAAGGCTCCTCTTTCCTCTATAGTCTGGGGTGATTTATGCCCAATTCATGGTTTTCCATGAGCATTAAATGCAGGAACTTGTGAAGCACCCGCGAGCCTCCAAGAACCACCCCCAGGGAGAGATTGTGGTGATTACAGTCATGCTGGGAAGCTGAGTGTTATTTTGGTGCCATGGGATGGTACACACAGCGGGGCGTTTGGGTCAGAGAGGCAGACTGTGTGGCTGGGGGCGCAGACGGGTGCCAGCCCTGCCACTTCTCGGCTGCTAATGGTTTATTCCAATCATCCTGCATATTTTATGTGCTACCTCCCTATACCAGATAAATAAATCAGGGCCTCCTCCTCCACGTGGTGGGAGCTGACTGGGACATCTGCAGGGTGAGGACTTCAAAAGGCCAGAGCAGGGATGCTGGAGCCCTAGCAGAGTCTGCTAATATGACAGTTAGGAACTGGGTGACCCGGGCAAGCGACAGCTGCCTGCGCAGTGTGGCGCCCCCAAATGGTGGGGACCCTTGTGGGGAGAAGGCAGTGACTTTCACAGCCCCTGTTTTCACCCCCATGGTCAAAGGAACACAGGCAGCAGAATGGCCTGGGGGGGTTTCCTGTCCCATTTCCTGAATGTTTACAAGGGATCAGCAGCACACCTGCATTTCTGCAGAAAAATTCACTTAGAGTCAGAACCCCAGGAGGCAGGTCCTCTGGGTGCACACTTGGAATTCCTTTATAGCCTCGGGGCATTTTGCTGGCTGGGGTGGGTCTGCAACCCTGGGGACCTGCCTGCACCTCTTGGGGGGCCTTCATCTGGGAGCAGTGGGCCCTCCTCTCTGTGGCTACTACATTGAGGAGGCACGGGTAGTCCATGGAGTGGGTGGCTTGGCACAGCACTGTCACCTCTCAGCAATCCCATCGAGGCAGCCCCGAGTCAGGGAAGAGCATGGGCTGTGAGAAGAGTCCAGGGTTTGAATCTGGGTGGGCTCTGCTCTTAGTATCAGTGGGGCCCTTGGCAAAATCACAACCAGCCTGAGCCTTGGTTTCCTCATCTGTAAGGTGGCATGGAGACCACCCACTGCACACACTGTTGGAGCTAAACAAGAAAATGTTCATAAAATGGCACAGACCCATGCGCACTATAGGGGCTCAGTAAATACCCTCGGCCCTCCCTGCCGGATCCCTAACCTTGTCAAAGCCTGCTCTACCCTGGGGACTCCACTCTCTGTTCCCTCGCTCCTAACCCCTTGTTCCCTCCCTCTTACCCCATTTCCCTGAATCTGCTTCATCTATGGTCACCAGTGCCCCACCATATGCCAAATCCACTGGCCCCTGCTCAGGGGCTTGCTGTCCCTGTCTCTTGGTGGTATGTGGTATTGCTGGCCAGCTCCATTGTCAAACTGTCCCCTTCCTTGGCTTCCAAGGCGCCTGCTCTCCCGGCACTCTGCTGCTGGCATCCCAGCCACTCCTACCCAGTCTCCTTTGAGAGTGTCTCTGCTCTGCCCACCCCCAGAGGTCGGCACTCCCCCAGATAATGTGCTCAGCCCCCTCCTCTTCTCATTGGGTTCACTTTCCCTGGGGCTCTCATCCGTGCCCCCTGCCCCGGCTCCCAGCTCTCATGCCAGTGGCCCCAACTCTCCCCTAGCTGGAACCTCTCCCCGGGCTCCAGACTCAAGGTCACCTCCACCTTGATGATCCACAGACACCTCAACCTCAGCACATCCAAGACAGAGCTTGTCATCTGCCCCTCCATATTTGACCTTCTCCTGGGTTTCCTGCCCCGGGAATGGCCCCTGAGTCCCTGAGTCACCCCCACCACAATCTTGGATGAGTTGCTTGGCCCCCCTGTTCCTCATCTCCCATTTGATCACCAAGTTGTCCTGATTGTACCTGGAAAAAAGAAACCTTTACCAGATCTGACCTCCCCCTCCATTCCTCCTGCCACCGCGCTGGGCGCTGGGCCAGCCCTCACCTTGATCCCTGATGATGGCCAAAACAATGAGCTGAACCCACCAACACAATAGTAAGGAAGATGAAAGTAAATTCAAACGCACGACTTGGGTTTGAAAACACATTGAACAGGTGCAGATAAAGGAAAAGGGCAGTGGGAGACTCTGCTCCATGTGACACAGCCGAGAAATGTGGCTTTTGAAAGATGCTAATTCCATCTCAGGATGCATTAATAGGAATATGATGTCCAGAATGCAGGAAGGGATCATTCCTCTCCATGCTACTGACCAAATTTTTTTAAATTTAATTTTATTTATTTTTTATTATTACGAATATTCATGAGATACAAATTACCAGAAATTGCTTTTATATCCCATGTCCCCACCCAATTGTCCCCCAACCACCTTCCCCTTTTCCCTCTCCCCCCAACTCCGCTTTACAGCCCTAGGAATGTTCCCTCCCTCTGTAAGACCACGGCACTACTGTGGTCTTTCTTTCCTTCCTTCCTTTCTCTCTTAGCTCCCACACATGAGTGAGCACATGTGAATATACCCCTCTGTGTTTTGCTTATTTCACTCAACATAAGTTTCTCAAGTTTCATCCATGTTGTTGAAAATGGGTGTATTTCATTCTTTTTTATGGCAGAGTAGTATTGCATGGTGTATGTATACCACAGTGTCCTTATCCAATCATCCACTGATGGACATTTAGGTTGGCTCCATATCTTGGCTATTGTAAACAGAGCTGCAATAAACATGGGAGTGCAGGCGTCCCTTTGACTTGATGATTTCCATTCCTTTGGGTATATATCCAGAAGAGGGATTGCTGGATCATATGGAAGATCTATCTGTAGTTGTTTGAGACACCTCCATACTGTTTTCCGTAGTGGTTGTACTAATTTACAGTCCCACCAACAGTGCAGTAGTGTTCCCTTCTCTCCACACCCTCACCAGCATTTGTTATTCACCGTCTTTTTGATTATAGCCAGTCTAGCTGGGGTGAGGTGGTATCTCAATGTAGTTTACATTTGCATTTCCCTGATGACTAGTGATGTTGAGCATTTTTTCATGTATCTGTTGTACATTTGTATGACTCCTGATCAAATGTTACTACCTAACCAAATGCTATCATTCCTCTACATGCTACTACCTAAAGTGCATTGGTCAGTCGTTGGTCTACACTCCATCAGAAAGACAGTGACATTGTGGGGTGTGGACCAAGGAGGGACCTGGGTGTGTTGCGAAGTAGAAATGACACTCTGTAAGGAGGGGCTGGGAGCTGGTGCCAGGGGGATGATCTATCTCTGTCTTCCAGTCCTTAGTGTTGTCCTGGGGCAGAGGACACAGAAGCAATCTGTGTGGTCCTAGAGGGCAGAGCCAAATGGGCAGGGGAGAGGTATAGGGAGACAGTTCAGCTTGATGGCCAGGAAGAACTTGGTAACAGGCAGAATCCAGTTATGGGGGAGTTGGCTCCCCATTGTTGAGGTGTGCAGGAAAGGATAGACAATCAGAGATGGTGAGATGGTGTGAGAGGGTGTTCCAGCCCAGAGCAGGTTGGAGGTTTTGTGATTCTAACTGGAAGGGGCATTAGAGGAAGGAAAGCCTACAGGAATATAGTCAGGGCCCACGTGGGGAGCAAGAGGCTAGGATAGGAGCATCCAGACACGACCCAGGAGCCCAGTCTAACTGGCCACTGCCTCTTGCACCCCACAGACAGCAGGGAGGTGAAGGTGGGAGAGTACAATGCTGTGGCCGACACACTGGAGATCATCAATGACACCATCAGATTCCAAGGTAAGGCAGCTGGGCTTCTTGGAGGAAGGGGTCTGCTCAGTTGCTCTCAAGCCTGGACATTGTCTGAGGCTTGGGAACAAGCTCAGAGTCCTTGGCTTCTTGGGGTTGAGGGGACATCTTCAACACATACATGAACTGAGTACAGGGTCCCACTCACTCACCTGGGTGCCAGCTCCTGGGATGGGTCACTGGAATTTGCATGGAGTGCTCACTGAGGTGTTTAAACCATTGGATGGCCAGAAGTAATTCTTTTAAAATGTGGCCCAGCTAATTTAGCTGTGTTTCCTCCTCTGGAAAAGGGTTTGTTTGGATTGGCAGTAAGGCCTCTCCACCTGCTGCTCTTCCTGGAGGATCATTCCCTCTCTTCTGCTGGAGAACTCCTCCTTGGGTTCTAGAACCAGGTCAAATGACACCTCCTCTGTGCCTCCCTTGATTTCCTCCCAACTGAGCCATAGGCTGCCTTCTCTCTGCTTCCATGGTCTTTTGTCTCTGCCTTTCCTATGGCTACTGTTACTTTGCATTGAAATTACTGGATGATTGCACCACGAGCACTTGACTGGATCCTATTTGACTTTAAATTTTTGGCACCAGCCAGGGTCTGACACGTATTCAAGGCTCAGTGATATCTGATGAAAAAATAAATACATAATTGATTGAGTGGATGGATGGATGGATGGATGCATGGATGGTTGGATGGATGAGTGGGTGAATGGATGAGTGGATGGACAGATGGATGGATGGAGAATAGGTATATGGATGGATGGATGGAAGGATGGATAGATGGATATGTGTGTGTGTGAATGGGTAGATGGGTGGATGGATGGATGGATGGATGGGTGAGTGAGTGGCTGGATGGGTGGATGGATGGATGGGTGAGTGACTGAGTGGATGGGTGGATGGATGGATGGGTGAGTGAGTGGGTGGATGGGTGGATGGATGGATGGGTGAGTGAGTGGCTGGATGGGTGGATGGATGGATGGGTGAGTGAGTGGGTGGATGGGTGGATGGATGGATGG